TTTTCATGGAAGACACGCAGTTGTTGCGTTTTATTCTACCTTTTTATTTGCAGAAATTGTTTTAGGACTGAAAGTGTGCAAAAGAGAGCCATGTACTGTAACCCAATGAGATATTCACCGTGCGAACTTCACGGAAGAGGGTTATTCCTTAACTTTCCAGACAAAGTTTGCCATAAAAGTTTATAGCCGTAGTCGGCGAGTTTTCCGCCTGATGTCAATAAATTGTCTGAACAAATGAAGGAGCAGTTCTTATAAGGCATTCTTTTTCGAAGATATTAACCAGATTCCTATTAACGATCCGTACACCAGTAGATCGGATGGAGGTAGGACATCTGGCATTTTTGAGGCTATTTACGCCCAATGGAAACGGCGTTTACTTTATGATTTCCAAAATCCATTAGAAGGTAGACTCTCTGCCGTTTTAGTAAGGTCGGATTCATGTAACTTTTGGGATTTTTTGTGAAAGTCGGAGTTAATTTAAGCCCATCCAAGCTGCTTTATAAGAAGCCATAAGTATTTACATCATGCTACTGTTACGCTACTTTGACAGGATCTCTGACCATTTGTCAGCACAGGAACCAGAGTTTCATTAATGGAAAGTCGACAAGTCTACTCAGACATGAGAGACCGATCAAAAAGGCATCTGAAGACTCAATGGGACAGCTGATCAAATTGATCCAGTCATCAGACTTCTGTTTTCTACCCGTATGGATTCATCGATTTCCCCGTTGTCCATCTTGTTCGCTTTATGCAAATACGGAGAAACAAGTGATCTGTCAATAAAACTTGCTAAAAGCTGGCAAATCCAGGCCATTTTGTGGTATTGCTTTCTGTTGGCAAAGAGCGACAGGGTTTGCACGGTCTCTGGAAAATATCCTTGATTTTAAATAGCTGGGATAAAAAACACCGCTGCTAAATATCTAAACAGGTGTCCGATCCAACAGCCAGGTCCCTGTGAGCAATACTCACTGTTTTTAACGCCTTTGAGCTTTTTTGAAGAGCTTCCTTCACAAAATATCCTAGCACTCAAACATACTCTGAAGCATGCGCTTAATATCGGCTATCGAAAAAGGAATGAACGAATAAAGCTTTGATACTGCGGGGTATGTTTGTGTAAACTGAAGTGAACGTTTGTTTCTTGTGGCCAAAAATGCCTCTCCTCATAATTAAACGGGAGGGTCCTTTAAACTCGACCTAGTTTTTCTTCCATGGCCTTCATGCTTGGCTTAATTAAGCAGTATGCTGTGTACTCTTGGTTATGCCGATGGCTTCGAGGCTCCAGGGTGTGTTCCCTTTTGCAACCCGGTCGGCAGAGGACCACCTAACGGCCACTTTGCGTATCTTTGGTAAAAAGTAACAGGACGCGTCTGTGGCTCTTGTGATGGAGCACTGAATTTATTGTTTTTGTGATCACCTGTTTTGTGATCAACGGGAGCCGCATTTCTATCGTACGTTTTCTTTATCTGAGCTTTAGGTACAGATAATTGATCGTTATGCCTTGGCAAATAATGTCTATTCTGGACTCCCCTATCGTGTCCAGGATTCCTCCTGCATTATTGATTGCTTTTTGCTGCGTCATCGTCTTTTATGTCTCGAGATTGATGGTTTAGAACAGAAAAGGAGGAAGATGCTCCTTTCTGTAATTGGCCTAAGCAAGCAGACTCGTTCTTTTTTTAAAAAACGAAGTCATTCATCGATTTTTACTGAATCTGTCTTAATGACCATTGAAAAAACAAATATGAACAAAGCGTCCCAAAATTTTGCCCTCAAAGTACATAGTCATGCAGTCACAAAGAGGGAGATTAACGCCGACCCACCATCTGAGTTGACCATAGCACTATTGCCTGTCGGTTTGGCATCAGTGAACTATATGTCCTTATTTCAGATTGCTGAGAAGATGTCGATGAACTTGAAAAAATATTGAGGGGTTCTAATTGTGTGAAGACGCTATCGAATTTAGTAGGGTCGCGCTCTGTGAATCTTCATTTTTAAGATGACTTATAAATATCGACATTGGTTCTGAGTTTTACGCGGTAGGTCCGAGAGGATGGTACCCCGTTATACCAGAGGGTGTATAATGAAATGACACTGTTCACTAGGTAGCTCCTTTCCTCAGCTGACCTATTACATTTTTGGCGTCGAGGTTCTGGCGAACGGCGACTGGACTACATTTTTCTATAACCCACTTCGCCACCGAAATATGTGGGGGCTGTTTTTTTCTTGAGTAAGTAGATAAGTCAAGCATAGTGCGTTTGGTGGACCGAAAGCCCTCCACAAACGCGATCATCCGTCGCCATTCCCTATGGCGAACACAAAGCCACCTGGTCCGACTGTACTGGCAGGTTAAGAGTTGCATTAAGCGCATCGTCAACTGAATCTTACACTTAGATACCGGAATTATTTAATCGTTTGCATACTGCGGGCGAATAAATCGAACCTGCAGCGATGTTCTTCCATGATACATGCAGTAGCGATTGAAATGGATCCGTCTGGTTGAGACTAAAAGTGAGCAGATACAACCTACGGTTTGTTATGCAGGCATTCAATTTTGGTTCTAAGCGAATAAGTCCAAGTAGGTATGACGTTGGGTTGGGTTTTGGATCAACAACGTACTTGACTACCCTGTAAACTCAGGGAACCCAATGAACGGCGATAAATTAGTTGCTATGTAACACCGATCAAATATTTCTGGCAAGAACAGCAAAATAATCCCCAGATCAACTTTTGTAGAAAAGTTGAGGGTTGGGCACGAGAATAGATAAATGCTTATTACGGATTGCCTTACACTCAGTTCTGGAGCGTTAGAGTTAAATTTTCCGTTAGAGTTAGGAAACGAGTACAGTTACTCTTCGAGGCATTTAGCGCAAGGCCATCCGCATTACGAGCAGGAGGGTTACCATTCCCGCGTCTTACCAATCTAAATAATATGAAGTTGGACAGAGACTCATTATCAGACGTTAAGCACCAGAGTGAACACAGGACCTAGATGCCTAAGTGGCAAGGAACTACCTGCATAAGTCTGCCCCGCTGCAATGCTCCGTAACACAGGAAATTTTCTAACTGAAGGTTTTCTCCTCTTCTGCTGCTGCCTCTGTCAATCATTTTACCTTTAATATGGAAACAGTCCGCCCTCATGCTTCTCAGCCCCCGACGTCTATTCCACATTATCCGACCTCGTCGTGTTGGTCCCAGTAAGGAAAATATTTGGCCAGAAATTTTCTTCACCCCTCAAGTTTCTCCTGACTATTTATGAATTCCGAAAAGATCCTAACAACTCTTGAGGCAGTCTTTGGAGGTCACATCCATGTGGCTGTTGCATGCGGTTAAGTCATGCTCGCCTAGATGAGATTAAAAGGCAGGTAGGATAGGAACACCGCCCTACCACTGGATAGCGAGATTAGCGGCAGGAACCAAACGACAATAATCCTCACTCATGAACGCAGCGCATGCAGTCCAGACGCCCTGGCTCATGAACCACACTCAAACGCCTTCAGGCAGTTTACTGAAAGTCAGTGGTCCAAAATCTTCCGAAGGTAGCATTGTTTATCTCCTCCTTTCCATTTTCTTCTTGTCGACTTTGTAGGACAGAAAGAGTCCAACTAACTATCTTTTGTCCGAGTGTCTACTCAGGTGCTACATCGCATGGTTGCTTTGCGACCAATATGAATCTAATAGGGCGTTAGTGTTGTATCTATGCGTTTTGATACTCTGTTTATCAGAGGATAACAAAAGTGATGCTACATTATTCGAGGCGTCGCAACTTCCCGCTCGGTCTTTCCATTCGAACATATGGAAACTCCCTCCAGCTGCACATGGCCTGGACAGATTAAAATGCACTGCTGACACAAACGTTTTCCCAACAGATGATGACTGTGTTAGGCGTCGTAGTTTATGCCTGTGGCTTCCAAGGTCGGAGCATGAACAAATGTAGGCTGGCGGACGCAACTTTCTTCTTTAGGCAAGATGACTCTTTTTCCACAAATGAAGTACGCTTTCTTTCGTCCTTAAGCGACCCTGCAGCCAGAACGGATCAATAAACGCTACCCACATCTGACTGGAGGATTTCAATCGCCGTCGATGGAGGGCCAGACTTAAATGATAGGATGCACGGCGGTCTTGTTCGTCAGATTCACGTCGAATTTGCGTGTCATCTGGATATGGGGCCTAAGTAGAACCGACCAATGCCGGCAGATGACCCAGGAATGACCGTTTTGCTCTCCACTTTATTCTGGTCGTATTATTTCTCGGTTATGCCGAGTGACTTACGGCGTGACAATTTTATCCCGCATATACTGAGTCAAAGTGCTCAAGTCCAAAATAAAATAATTCATCCACCTCTTCTCCCTTCTCAAAATCCAGTGAAGTCGTTGTTTCATTGTATCTGGAAACTGAAACAATGAAGACCGCATAGCACTAGCCTTTGAACGAAAGAATAGACCAGTAGGCATATCGCGTGTATTGGTTGGAGGCATCACTTCCCTCTCTGAAGTGCGTGGAGCCCATAAATACCAAATAATGTAGGTGGAGGCCAACGTCCACACTGAAAATTGCGAGCACAATAACATCTGTGAATTCGTGCACCACATGTTACGCCACATTTGCACGCCACCCAAATTGTCCTTCGCCCATGCGATGTATTTCCTGTGTCTTCTCAGCTGACCGCACAACCGTGAACGTGAGTATGCACTTGCAAAACATGCAATTGAAAATCTTGTAAGTTGCTTATTTTTCTAGCCGGCCTTCTTCTGATTTTCACTCTGAAAAACTTCATTACAGTTAGTGAAAAAGCTGTGTTGTGGAAGAAATCCCGTCTCGACAAAGCTTACAGACATCCCGGAGCTTTACTCGGAAAGTTATTAGGTAAAAATGAAGAAGAAACAGGAAAATATGTATATATACTTTTGATACGAATTGAGAACTGTCGTAGCACGGTAGAAGGGAATATGGAAAAGACGAACTACTAAGAGTTGATCTTTCGTTAGATCACAAATATGCGGTTCTTAGTTTCCCAGGATCGCAAGGAGGTACCTGCGGTAGTCTCCAGACGTGTCTCCTTCGATCATTTTATCAAGACTTTTCTCGTATTTGCCATCAAATGTATGCCGTATAACAGCCAAATCAACCTACAATGGAAATCTTGCCGATTAGTGTTTTTGTCCAACAAAAAGATTAATTCACATGTATAAAGCGATAAAACGCTCTTAAATCAGAGTGTTCATACCTCGGAATGTGCGATGATCATTCGAACAAGGTTGTCATCATGTGTGCCAGCGCCCTTCATTGTCTGGTAAAGAATTTCGGCATAGGCCTCAGTCCTGTTGATAGCCGTTTTTACTACAAAATTTAACTTGGATGGTGATATTCTCTAGTCTCCATGCGACTCAAAATGCGACAAGCAGATTAAATTGGCGACTCACCAATCGTCTGTAGAGACTTGCGATAGTCACCAGAGGTCTCCTTGCCGATGGCAGTAATCAGATCGTGGCCGACCGCCTTGAAAAAATAAAAAGCAACATTAAATACTTTGTAGATAAGATTTCGAGGGTTGTCACTAAGTGCACCAATACACTCAGACGTGCCTGGGTATAATGGTCATTGATTTTGACGATGTCCTTCCAGCTACGTGAGACAAGAATTCGCGTAAAGGTAGCTTCATCTGTTCCCAATTTTCTGAAAAAATAAAATCAACATTATTCATATAAGTTTCGTTGCATACAGAGCAGATGTGTGACGTTTTTTTACAGCGATAGGTAGAATCTAGCTTGATATCTAATGACGGATTTGTAATTTGAGGCAGAATGGGCATTCACAATTACCCTTTTTCTGTGATATGTCATTCGGAATTTCCTCTGAAAGCTCTCTGGACCACCAGTGCATTTACACTTTTCATTTAAGCCAACCATAACTTACGCTTCGCCACCCTTGTAGAGTTCTTCGCAGTCGGCGCGAATTTGAACGTCGTCCACATCTGATCCTCTTTGAGCCTGTAGGAGGGCAATCAGCACCCGCTGGAAGTCACCGCTGGTATCATTTTTGACATCGAGTTCCAAGTTCCTTCGAAGAGCTACGATAATCGATAAAATGCGGTAGTCATATGCTGTCTTTATTTCAATATTCTTCTTTCCCTAGACAGCCTTAAAATTTCAGGAGTGCCAAAGTCAAAATATACTTACCGTTTTGTTTCTCCTCGAGAAGGACTAAAAAATAAACAATCGTTGAGTCATTATAAGACCCAAAAAGCTTCCCGAGACCCTCATATTTTGCCCGACGGCTGTCAATAAATTGATCAACGATGAGGTACATTAAATGTTTGGTACATGTAAATGGTGTAGCTGGCTGGCCAGCTGTGAACAAATTAGGGCCATCGGTCGAAATCTCTTATCCAAAAAACCAGACCACTGGCTATGCTAAAACCTGTCCATTCTGCAAGGCGCTCGAGCACCGACGTGAACGTCGAGACTTCTACTGTTGTGTAATTGGTTAAGTTTATTCTGAAATGGCTATGAAGAGTAAACGAGATAAGCTGGAGACCCTAACAAAACAAAAAGTGTTAGCCAAATCTCATTTTTAAAAACCCGACTTAAGATAATGCTCTCAGACTCTGTGCAGAGTTTTAGCGTTTTTCTGGCTTTATTTCAGAGAATGGCAAGGCAACTTACTCTGGCCATAAGCGTCCTTCAGGGCCCTTATTTCGGCATTCGTGGATGTGCATATAACGTCAATGAGGACCTGTTCATCGGTACCCGCGCCCTTCATGGCCTTGTAGCAGGCTTTAGCGTTTACGTGAGCCATGTCGTAAAAGGAGTAGAGGACGGCCCGCCGGAAATTCCCACTCAGCTCGCTGTACAAACGGTCCTTGAGATCCTTTCAGAGTTAAAGGTAGAGAGCAGAGTGTTTTACAGCGAAAGGATTGCATTATTACAGTAAAATCTACAAGAATCAATCTGGCTTATTTGTCTTCCTAACCCATTTTAAATAATAACAGTTAGCATTTTAAAGGGACTAGTGCTTAACTTGAGTGTAAAAATTTTAAAGTGACGCAACCAACCTACCTTTCCGTATATTGATTTGTAGGCCACTGCAATCTGCTGACGTTGGTGAACAGAACGTTTTGACAGCAGGTTGATTATGGCCTCTTCGTCCGTGCCTAATTGTGGAAAAGGTCGGAGCTTATAGGGTTTTGGTTTCAGCAGAAACCCTATTGTATTCTTTAAACATTCCAAAGCAAGTGATCGGAGGCAAAAAAGAGGTAAAGGGGATATGAAAAGGCAAAAGAGACAAAAGAAATTAGGAGGTCTTTTCTAGTAATGCAGGAGAATAAGCGGAACCAACCGAGTCCCTTCATGGCCTTTTCCAGGGTCTCCGCATCTTCCTGGGGGTTCATGTAAGAAGAGGGTTGAACGGTACCTCCACTAGACATGGTTTTCTGGACGGAGAGCAAAATGGAACTGGGAAGGGCAAAAGAAATAATTAATTGCTTGTTGGGCAGGCGCTCGAGCATACGCTCCACCATAAAGCCATTCTATGCAAATATGAGCAAGGACAATAAAGAAATATAAAGCGTACGCGCAGGAAATATAACGAACAGACCGTAACGAAAGGTAAACGGGTGCGCCTAGGTTTATGCTCAGCGTGAGCAACACTTACATGGAAATTACTCCAAAGTGAATGAGAATACCAACAGCATCAGCACATTAATATATCTCGCCAGACTCGCTGGGTGACCTTGACATCAGCAACCAATGCTCGAGAAGGCGGCGGCTAATTGGTGAGCACCGGCGCTCGCCCTGAAATCTAAACAAACTGTTAAAAGTTCCGTATAGGAAGAGTAGAGTTTTTTATTGTCTTTACTGCCACTTGGACCATTGAGGTTTTATGGTCTTCCTTTCGATTACTCAAAATGGGGCGTATGTGTCGAGAAAGTTTTTGAACTGATTTTCCGTCAGTTACCCGACGGTCATGCCCTGTGAAGAAATATGCACTCTTAGTACCTCTTCAGTTACTGCTTATCTGGAGTTTTTTGGGTCCTTTAAGTCCCAACAGTCAATGGTTCACGGTAAAAGCTTAAGATAAAGTGAGATTTTTAATTCTTAATTATAAAAGTGGTCAAGAAAATAGCGTTTAGATTTCTCTTCCTGCATTAAAAATAAATCCCACGAACGACGCTGAATTCACGTTATGGGGAAGTAGGAGATGTTCAGATAAATTTCCTCATACCTGGATTTTAAACGTTATTTTGTTGTCATATGGAATTTGCATACAAGAAAGTTATATTATTTTGTAATGATAAGGAGTCTGTACATAGCTTGGACTGTCGTTTAGCTTTATCCAGTCCTCGTTTTTTTAAATATCCGATTGGTTTCGTTTTAAGACGTGCAAATTTCGTTCTCGGTTATATGCTACATACTATGGCACACATGTTTATAATAACAATGCCTTTACCAAATTAAACTTTTGAAAAGAGCTACAGCGGCATATAACTCATTGGGGCTTTTTATCATTTTACATGTCAAAAGATGGACAAGGACCTCATTGATGTATTTTACATCGAGTTATCTGATGTGTAGTTTATAAACTCCTGTGGCATTCGGGCTAAATTTCGGAGAAGTTTTACTTATGATTATACCTCACCTCTGTAAGTTTGAAGTACCAGGGCGTACGAACGGTCGTCATTAATGTTCTACCAGCCGTGCTATCGTTATTTAATCCAAGAAGTCGTGTAACCATACGCACTTAACCCTGGAAGATTTGTCCGCAACATTTCATGCCACGGACGGGTGGTTTGTCCATATTATTATAAGGAACGTTATTTGGCTGCACAGTTTATACTTCCCATTTGTATCTTCTGATATTTAACCCTGACGTAGGACGTGCCACTGACTGCTGCTGAGATCATAATAGATAACTTTTGACCCATGGCCGATGTTCTGTTTTGTGTTACAGCCTCTTAACAAGGATAAGTGCACTTTCAGAGCAAACAACCTTCCGAATCCAGCCAATGCTATAGTTATCTCCACCAAAGATTGTTTTCTCTGGGTGTGTGTGCGTGTGCAAATGCGTGTGAGTCAATCAAAAGGAGTTGGAGGATGCATGGTGTAATCTGCTACAATCGATGGTTTCACATGTGCCTAGCACCTCTCTTGTTGGCACTGAGCCAACGCCCTCTATTAGGCTGCCGTTATACGTGGGCTCTCCGAAGATGAAACGTCCTTTCGATAGTGTGGATAATCATGCGCATGCAACCTTTATCCTTTAATCCTGGTGAACTGATTCCACCTCTTGAATATTACTCTTAGCGAAGTTTACCTTGGGAGTGACTGGTATAGGGAGAAGACAAGGGAAAGTGGATGGTAAATTTCACAAACAACGCCGAAATTAGAGAAATATTCGTTGGCCTCACCTGTGCTAGAAGAAGGTAACCGGATGCCGAATAGTCAGTAGTCAACCACATCTAGCGGACTCAATGCGTTGTCACGGTACGTCGGTCAGCACTCGTGTGGAGAAGCAGATGGGTGAAAGAAGACAGGCAGAGTCAGTTTGTTCAGGGTCGTTCCATATTGTCAGCACGTCTTAACCGTCCCAAGATACATGTTTTGACTAAGGAAAGAGGTAAGACTGGGTAGCAAGCTATTTATCCCCTTTTCGGAATCTGCATCTTGTGCTAAGTCTGTTCTCTAATATCTTTACTTATTTAAGATTCACAGCATTATCTACAGGCTAGCTACACTGACTTTGACCTCTGATGGTAGTTCTACATCGATCTGGCTGTCAGAGGGGGGTGAATTATAATTTCATTTTCAGTAATTTCACTGTAGAAACCTTAGTTTTAAGATCGGGGCAGAGATCGAGAACTGGTAATCCTACGCATTCTTTCTTTATTATGAAGCGGGTGGTAGAACATACTAGCATCCGCAACCTTACAACTGGCTCTGGATAGATTCTATCAAAGGATGTTTAATTGGATGTACTGGCGTCCCGAGTACTCATTGACTCCTGGACCTTCACATAGGTCTTGCGGAAAAACATCCCCTCGGAAGGCAAAAGCCGCCTTCACACAAATATCGAAGCCAGTTTCCAGGCCCCACATAAGAAGTTGCTTCGAGATTCGCGTTTACCGCTGTCCAGTCTGTGCTCATCCAACACTCGCACAAATGTTATGCAAGCGGTTCTGCAAGGCACGGGCGTCCGTATGATAATCTCCAGGGATTATTGCAGCGTGTGCTGTGATAGATTCCCTGATTTTCTCCTCTGTATTTAAGCAACTCTAAGAAATTCCACCTAACCTCTCCGTTTGAGCCAAGGAAGGATAGCAAAAACCATTATTTGGCTAAAGTAGTAGGGGTACTACCATTAAGAGTCGTTGTACTCCTCTTTATACGGTTAAAACGACGCAGTCCTTGCAAAGTTCTTGCATATATATTTTGCGAAACCGCATTTTTCATAATGCATTAGTATTTCGCAGTGCCATACAAAGTCTTCTAAGTGACCTCGAACAAGTAGTACAAAACTGCACGCACTAACTTAGTTGCGTCTGCTAATTTGCAAATCCTCGTATATGCCCGCCATTAAAGACTAGACCTTGACCTCTTGCAGTGACGAACGAAGTTTATATAAAAAACCAAACTAAATTTTTGAACCATACTGCAATTTGACTAAAATTCTGCTCAACAGTAAGGACGAGGGGATTACTGTTTGCGGCGGACGGAGTTTGAAGCAGTGGATTTCGTGAAAATTCACTTGGCTAGGCAACCGACGGACTCCGGATTTTGAATGGTGGGTCTCCCGATCACAAATTGAGGTCCGACCAATAAAAATCGTAAAAATACCTGACTTTGGTAGTCCTCGATTACTGATCATTCTTCATGGCATGGTCGCCTAAGAGATATTTCAATTGAAAACACAAAACTTCAGCGCCTATAGTCGGCCCTAAAAATGATGCAGACCTGTGAGTGGCCTTGGGGTTTGAGTTTGGATAGGGCTTCTAGCTAAAAGGCGTTTGAAATGACAAACTTCCAAGTTAGATTATATTAAGTATTTTTACCAATAGCAACGAGCCATTGATTTTTTTTGACAAGTCACCACCAGGGACGCTCAGGTGTGATTAATTAAAAGTGGCATTTCTTTTCATAGGTACAAGTTACAACGTAATCCAACTGCAAATACTAAAAAGTTAGAGCTAGAAAATGCACGTCTTCGATTTCTCATCATCAGACCTCTGTATTACTATGCGTCAAGCGAGGAAGGTGTAAGATGGAAATCAACGAATGATGATGAAGGATGTGGAAGTGTTTGGACATGCCAAAACATGGGGGAGGAAGCAAGAACTAGTTTAGATGTCGATAAAAAGGGAGGGGTATCATTGTGAAGTTTGTGTCTTATGGCTGTAATGTGACTTGGCTGGATATGGGTTCATCTCAGGCCTAAAAGTATGTTATCTCGAAGCATGTTTTCCAGTTGGCATAACGTATAAGTACCGTTTCTGTCCTCACAAGTATCAGTTGACTTCGTAATTTGGAGTGCTTTAGACATCCAGTAGATAACCCAAATGACCTGGTTGATGTTTAATCGATGGTCCCTGACAGCCAGATAAATCAGGATTGCGTTGGAGATGGACTTTGCCATGCCTCAATTGAGGCAAAATGAACTGTGTTCTAGAATCCGTGATGAAAGGTGCCTCCTCGTTCGACCAATATAGCCTACTCCATATGAACGGGTTAAGATGTAAGTGCAACTGGAAAGGTTCGGGAGTGCAGTTTTCCCTTACCTTCGCGGTGAGGAGGAGAGAAGCCTGGACGAACTTTATTATGGTTGTTGGGTACATGCACATATTCATGACTTTCTTTCAACGCTGTAATTCACACATTTGGTTTCCTTGATTGGTCTGTTTTTAGTTGGTGTTGTCTATAGTCGCTTGTGTAGAGTTTTTCGCGGAAAAACCTTTTTTGCAGAGGGTTGCATATGTAGACGAACCCGCCCTTTAGGCTATCTGCGAATCCTATTCCTTAAGTTCGTCTGGTTAGTTGGTAAATAAAACACCGATTTTATCTAAGTGAGATATGCCTGTCCACATTTTCTGCAATGACACTGGACGCTGGATGAACTTAATTCAACTCTCTCAGGAGGATGCTCAAATCAACCTTTCTATCAGTTATTGTGAAAGTAGCATTACAATATCAAGGATGGGAACCAAAACCATCAACAATAAAATTGAGGAAGTCCCTTTCTAGTTTCGCCATAAACACATCCGCTAGTAGGGTTGCAGGGTTTGAGCCCATCGATACGCTTTTGATCTGGCAGTAAAACGGATTAAATCTGAATTTAACTGTCAATGAGGAGTGGAAGAATCAGACACTTTAGGGTTTTACCAGGGATGCCACTTAGGAGATTTTGCTTAACAATCTCATCACATGCATATCTTCCATTTCTAGGAGAGAACTTATTTATTTTATTGAGATTTTCATTTCTTGCGAAATCGATTAGTACAAAAGTCCCATGTAGACCATATAATGTTACTTTTTCGATTTAAGCGACTCTGCAAGCAACTTTGAATTTGGGTAATAAGAAGAGCTGCACATGTCTCCTATCGACCGCATATGGGGACGCGGTTTGCGAATTTTTGGTAAGCAGCCAAGCGTCTGTCCGTGAGCTAATGATGTCCAAATTACTGTTAATTGATGAGACCGTCTTTCAGTTTCCAAAAATGTCATAAATCACACTGCTGTGGACTCCTTTTCGACTTTATTTTCTGCCGCTTTCCTGCACGTTGTCTAGTCAGCTAGAACTGACTCATCTTTTGAAACGCAATCGCACTTCCTTTCTGGGACGAAACCAGAACACTTGTGGGATTTGATGACGCGTACTTGCCTCTTTTGGAATAGTTATTAGAGCATGTTCAGATGAATCCTCATGATATGTCCGATCCCTAATAAGTTTATTCTTGGGTAGTGACAGCAACAAATCAGGAGTCGGAATTCGGAGTACTCGGTTTCCTTCAAAATTGGGGATACTAGACCTCGCGTGTAACACAAGCTGTTATCAAACTGAACCTCCGCCCTCCTAGTGTGTTTGGTTTGTGAAATAGGTTTTCATTTGTTAAAACTAACTTGAGGCTTTTCAAAATCTAAAGATTTACTTCTGTATCATGAAGCCTGTGCATACGTGTTTTTTTCCCCGAATTCCATATTTTTCAAAAGTACGAATCAAACTTTCTTTGATGACACTGAATGCGTCAAAGTTGACAGTCACGAAATTTACGAGGTAGATTCGGATTCTCTCAGAAGTCTCCCACTGGCATTCTAAAACAAAGTTTTGACAGAAAACCACTTGACTAGCATACGCTTGCCTTCGATAAATTCTCGTCGGGTGGGTACAATCCTATGGGAACGAAGTACAAGTAAAACATGTGAGTGGTACAAGATTTCTATTACACTTCGTCCCTTCATACAAAAATTGTGTGGGACTAGAGGTGGGAGATATTAAGAGACGGTGAGGGCTAGGCGGAAGAATGCAGAGAGGTTTTAACCCCCCGATACTGCATACTAATCTCTAACTTAACAACCTGGCAACGTCATTCGAGATAAATGACTCCGTCAATACTTTCGCAATTTCCGCATCTGATTTATGCGTCTTCGGCAATTTGATTATACCTAAAGGACCCCTTTGCATGGGAAGCTTATGTTGCGCTGGGGACCGGGTGGCGCGCAGATGGTCTGTTTTAGCTCCGCCAGCCACCGCGCCCAATCTCAGCATCTGACCGACGCTGACAGAGAACGAGTGCAGTTGAAAGGGAAGAAAGAGTGAAGGTGACGTTGCGGACTGCGTCCTCACGGCACTCAGAACACACTCCTCACTATAATAAATCCGACACGCTTTTAAACTCTCAGGGTGGGCTAAACGTCGTGGTTCTGAAGACGGCTAACTTACGAGACAGCGCGTTCTCCCTCTCAAAAAGGAGAGTCAGTTTGTAACGGCTCTTTCTTAATGTGGCCCCCATTGAAATCACATTCAGCCGAAATACAAGCGTCCCTTTTGTAGAAACCTGGTCCACCATGCGTGGACCAGGCGGGATGTCTGGCCTCGCCTGCGCCACTTATGCCCTCTTCCGCCCTCAGTCTTCTTGACTACCCCTTGACACGGGGTTCGAATAGTTGTGGGAGAAGGGAGTGCTATAGACGCTGCGCATGTTTATTGGCTAACTACCTTGCAAGTCGCCATCCCTGCTGTGGGACATACGGTCGAATGCTTGAAGGACTAAACTTCAAGAAACCTAGTCAGACTCTGTAAGGTTATTGATCCGTGCCTACTGTATACGGTTTCAGTCTCAATTAATGTCAAGTAGATTTTAAGCCTATGTACATCGCATGAGGATACTTAACTTATTTACAATGTATCAGTATAATTAAGATAGTCGTATAGGTCACCGAATTTCAAGTTGGTTATCTAGTATTTGTTTATCTAAACACGCCAATTTCCAGCAATCTTGTCTTTTCGATTCCATAATAAGACAAGAAGCCATTAATGCCATGCGTGAGTAATCGTTCAATTTTAGTAATAAAGGGTGGCGTTTGGTGCTTTTTTAAAGGTTATTAGTTGTGAGATGTTTCCTGTTGCTGGCTTGATTATTTGCGCTGTTTTTCATCTGTAGGTGTGTAAGTGCTGCTTTCGGCGTGTTTACTATGTTTAACAGTTTAACGTGTTTAACAGTTAGTGTCACAGCTCGTGAAACATGTGTCCATTCATGAACGACTTCTCCTGCCTCAGAAACCTAATCATGTGCATCACCTGAAACACTCATGTGAAAATAAAAGATATTCGAATAAATGTAAACGCTAACGAATGCACAAATAATGTTTCACCTCCTAGATATAACAGCCTTATAAGGAAAACGAGCACTCAGATTGGGCGACAATTCGAGTTGGATGTGCAGGCTTAATTTGCAGAAGCATGTAGCGCACATCCATGCAAACAGTTGTGTCGATAATTCTCAAATTGGAGATTTGCCAGATTTTGTGAAATATGCAGTACGGTAGCCAGTCAAATACCTGATGTTTGCAAAATGCTTTGTTGCGGGCTGACTCAACGTTTTCGTCCTTGAATGGTTCGGCATGTCAGCGACTGCGATAGAGCTGAGTCTTTTTTGACCACCTGGACGATGACGTCGCAGAGCTAGAAGTTTTTTCAAGGTGGCGTGTGGTGAGGCTAGTCAGTGGTTAAAACACAAATACCGTCACAAGAATACCATTGTCTTTGTAACGTGGGATTTTTCTGCCGTAAAAATTCTGTGTACAGTCTGGAGAGAGAAGCATTTGCTGAGTCTCCTAGAGTTAATGATAAGTCAGCGAATGCCTTGCACCTTCAGTGGCCTCAGATGAATTCCGAAGTTGATGCCTGTCAAAAATTTCGAATTAAGACAGTTCTTGAAAGGATTTGCAAGTGCAGTGAATCCTCAGACATACTTTTGTGAAAATATTGCTTGGATTTGTACGCGTTATTTCACTAAAACATAAAACCCGAGCGTCAAAAAGCGGACGTCTGCCAAAAGGGCCTGCAACGAATAGACCCTTCGTCAAAGGAACAACCCTCTCTCTCAAGTAATCTCCTTTTGATGAGAAACTGCGTCCGTCGTTTTTTACAAAACAAAATGTTAAAGTTAACATTTTTTGATCTTTCACTCATTCCTTTGACTGAGGCTGGTGATTTTTCTAGTACCAACGAAAATAACTCCTTTTCTTTCTCAGTTTACGAAATTGGCAGTTTACGTCGGCTAATTAAACGCCCAAATATTTGGTTAAAAATACGCTACAAAGAGGCCAAACAATCACTAAGCTGCTTTCCAGATTCCTAATGTCGCACTCTTCAGCTTCAAAATGTCTGAAAATGCAAGCCGCGGAAAAATATTATCATATTACATTAGTCTTGAATGGTAGTTTGCCGAAGTATTTTCGCAGTTATATCGGACGTATTCTCGTACGATAAATCAAAAGGACATCCGTGAGACTTTCGTTTCGATTACAAGGCAAAATATATAGGATATTTATTTAACATTCCCAAAATAACGAGCTCGCTTAAATGTTGTCCTATCTGCAGAATAACACCACCGACGAAGACAAGGGAGACTGGAATAGATAGTTCAGACTCATTAGCCGTCGTCAGCCAGTCGTACCCAACTCTGAAGTGTGGAACTGCGGGGGGCTTAAGCCCTCGACTTGTCGGTTAAAAGCCCAACCCTCCTACCCACTGAGTCCCTGACTCGTCGTTCTGTCGGTAATGCTATTCTGCCTATTGTACGCGCCACTGTGCGGCTGCTGGTTAGGCTCGAGAAAGAGCCCCAAGGCGCAATGGGAGGAGTGAGCTTTGTGACGCGATCGGTGAGCGTCCTTAGGCCCTTGTTCTGTCTGATTTATGCTTGCAGATAATTCATGATTCAAACTAGCAAGGTTTGATTGGGTGAAACTTTCTCATTTAGATGAATGCCCTTCCCTGGAGAAATACGCGTAAATGCTTAGCCGGGGAGTGTGCTGGTTATTTGCCAAGGTAACTAGTTGAGCACTAAGAATGGTTTGTTTTCACTTCAAAATGCAAACTTATTTTGGATAAAATATATCAGAGTCATAGTCCGTGTGAGATAAGCCCGTTTGGTAATGTGTGAAGTTACTAAGCAAAATGAACAACGTAGATGCAGGCCGTACCGGCATTATAGATTTTGGTCAGCACACTCATCAGTTTGGTCACTTAAAGTGCAAAAATATGCATGCAAACAAATTTCGCTATGCGTGAATATTCATGGTACACATATCTTATCACGTACCTCGCCTCAAAAAAGAAAAA